TTGCCTGAAAGCCGCAAACAGGACAACCAACCAGCAGCCACGCTGCTGTTCCCCAGCCTCAGCGCGTACATCAGTCACCCCGGCACTCCAGAGTAACGCCCTGCGCGTGGCTGCGCCTCGGACGGTTTCGGTCACAGAGATCCCCTTGTGGCTGTCGCGTGATGTGCTGAAATGCCACTGAGCCCCCCGGGGTACCCCCCACCCTGGTCTCCTCCAGCACAGAGCTGGGGCCTCAGCCCACAGCAGAGCAACAAGACCCTGCGATCAGCTCAGCTCGGGAAGGCGTCCTGCCGACACCTAGACCCACCCAATCAGTTGCTGATTTTCCTTCTCCCCCCATCGAGGGGGCAACAGATCTGTCACAGTTAAGATGCCACCAGCTGCCACTCCAGGCCCACTGTGTTGTGCCCAAAGCCGCCGCACAGTCTGGCACTGGGACCCAGCCCTCCTAGTGGAGCAGCCCGTGCGAGGAACAAGCTGTCGCTAACCCCGTTGCCCCGGTTCGGTCTTTGCAGGTCACTTTTTCACGCTCCTTGGAGTCGCTGGCCGAGCAGCACAGGGCAGGCCTGGACAGCAGGAACCAATCCCATTTCGCTGCCACCCCCCTGCACTGACCTACCTGCCGGCGAAAGGTCCGTGGTTTTAGTGAAACTTGGTGCGGAGGATTTGAAAATCTTCGTTCGTCCGCCCCCCACAACCACCTCGGGGCCCAGCAGGGAGACCAGAACCGCCAAGCCGTGCAGCGTTGTCGCCACAATGGAGTCGCTGCTGTCTCGGAGGCCCAGCAGCACCTAGGAGAGGAACCACCAGGCAGCTCAGACACGGCGAGGAGCCGGGGCTGCTCTTCCCCCAAAGAGGTTTGCAGGTTTCTACTCTCATGCAGAGACTGGCGTGGCCAGCCCCCTCTGCGTCACCACGGGCCTCAGCCGCCCCTCTCCTCCCCCGCGGGCAAAGCCTGATTAGTGGTACCACTCAGCTCGCTCCCGGGGGAGGCTTTACCACCCTGCAAAGCTATCCAGTAATCTAGCACAATTCAGAACCACCAGTCACCTCTGCTCACGAGAGCCCCCGGGATATTGGGGAGGCGAGGATGGAGAGGCAGTGCGCTGTCATAGGGGGAAGGGAGTAAGTCAAGAGTGGTGGGTAGGAGTCCTGGGAAGGGAGGAAAGGGAAGTCAGAGCACTGCCGGCGTAGCTAGGGGGAGGGGCAGGACTAGACTACCAAGGGGTGCCCCAGATCAGGACGGAGGACACCGGCGTAGCTAGGGGGAGGGGCAGGACTAGACTACCAAGGGGTGCCCCAGATCAGGACGGAGGACACCGGCGTAGCTAGGGGGAGGGGCAGGACTAGACTACCAAGGGGTGCCCCAGATCAGGACGGAGGACACCGGCGTAGCTAGGGGGAGGGGCAGGACTAGACTACCAGGGGGTGCCCCAGATCAGGACGGAGGACACCAGCGTAGCTAGGGGGAGGGGCAGGACTAGACTACCAAGGGGTGCCCCAGATCAGGACGGAGGACACCGGCGTAGCTAGGGGGAGGGGCAGGACTAGACTACCAAGGGGTGCCCCAGATCAGGACGGAGGACACCGGCGTAGCTAGGGGGAGGGGCAGGACTAGACTACCAAGGGGTGCCCCAGATCAGGACGGAGGACACCGGCGTAGCTAGGGGGAGGGGCAGGACTAGACTACCAAGGGGTGCCCCAGATCAGGACGGAGGACACCGGCGTAGCTAGGGGGAGGGGCAGGACTAGACTACCAGGGGGTGCCCCAGATCAGGACGGAGGACACCAGCGTAGCTAGGGGGAGGGGCAGGACTAGACTACCAAGGGGTGCCCCAGATCAGGACGGAGGACACCGGCGTAGCTAGGGGGAGGGGCAGGACTAGACTACCAAGGGGTGCCCCAGATCAGGACGGAGGACACCGGCGTAGCTAGGGGGAGGGGCAGGACTAGACTACCAAGGGGTGCCCCAGATCAGGACGGAGGACACCGGCGTAGCTAGGGGGAGGGGCAGGACTAGACTACCAAGGGGTGCCCCAGATCAGGACGGAGGACACCGGCGTAGCTAGGGGGAGGGGCAGGACTAGACTACCAGGGGGTGCCCCAGATCAGGACGGAGGACACCAGCGTAGCTAGGGGGAGGGGCAGGACTAGACTACCAAGGGGTGCCCCAGATCGGGACGGAGGACACCGGCGTAGCTAGGGGGAGGGGCAGGACTTGGCTAGCAAGGCGGAGGTGGACTAAGCTGCGAGGAGGCGCATGGGTGCCAGGCCTGGGAACGGGGCTGAGCTGGGCGCCTGGCGCGTACACAATCTGCCTGACTCTGGGTGACTGTTGCCTAGTAAATGGTTGTGTAACAAGCAGGAGAGGCCATCCCCCTCCCCCCCCCGCCCGATCGGCTGCCTGGGGCATTCACCTGGGGCAAGATGATGTTTCTCAGCTCGTCGTGGGTGAAGAGCTCGGCGTAGGCCTCGATGTGGGACAGCAGCACCACACGCACGTGCTCTTCGTGGACCTCAAACAGCTTCAGCAGCACCGGCGTGATGTGCGTCTGGAAGAGGGCCGGGGACAGCAGGCGGGCGGCCTGGCTCTCTCCACTTTTATCTAGGGACAGCGGGAAGATCGTCGTGGGTGAAGAGCTCGGCGTAGGCCTCGATGTGGGACAGCAGCACCACACGCACGTGCTCTTCGTGGACCTCAAACAGCTTCAGCAGCACCGGCGTGATGTGCGTCTGGAAGAGGGCCGGGGACAGCAGGCGGGCGGCCTGGCTCTCTCCACTTTTATCTAGGGACAGCGGGAAGACCAGAGACAGCTGGCCTCGAATCAGTTGCCACGGGCAACGGCCTCTAGGGCTGAGG